CTTTTTTAATTAGAAAGTATATTGCTAAAATTAATATTTAAAATTTTATTAAAAAAATAAAGTTTAAAAAAATAAATATAGACAAATTTGTCTGTGTTACAATTTAAGGGATAAGGAAGCTAATATTTAAGAGCTCAATATAGCCCCTAAAGATTGTCAAATGACTATTTCTCAAGATATTAAAATCAGTTATTTGACAATTACAAAAATTAAAAAAATTATATAAATTTTGTATATTTTATATACTCTTTATATTCTTGTATATTTTATATATAATTTAAGATTATGCATGATTATGCAAGAATATATAAGATATGCAAAGGGTGCATAAGATATGCAAAAGATGCATATTGTATATACTCTTGCATATGTATATATACTTGTATAATCATGCATAATCATGCATAAAATATGCAAAAAATGCATAAAATATGCAAGAAGTACATAAAATATATAAAAAGTATATAAAATATACAAAATTTATATAATTGGCAATTTCTATTTATACTCCTGTGTTTGAATCTCGGTGTATTAATAACTTAAAATTTTGTTTATAAAACCACTTTACGAGTTTTAACAAAAAAAATCTATGTAGAATTTTATTATAAGGTGATACAAATAAAATTAACTAGTTTTCATATCTAACCGGGTCTAAAAATAGAAAATTTTAAAATTTTTTTATGCTGCAGCAAGTAGATAGCCAATCAAATTGTATCATTTATAACATGTAAAATTAAACTTTAAAAGATAGTTTAAGTAGTATATAATTTCATTTATATACGTACAAGTACTGGTAGCTGCATGGTGTTCTTCTAAATAAACCGAGATTAAGAATTTCTATACCTGCTTAATAACAATAGTAACAAAAAAATAGGCAGATTAGGCTACTTTTGCATTGATAAAAGGTAAAAAAAAATAAAAATTAAAAAAATGAATAAATCAGACTCAAAATGTATTGTATAGTTTATGCGTAAAAATTTAATCAAATACACATTTAAAATATTGCATTTTGGGAGATAAAATTAAATATGCATTTAGAAATAGAATAATGTTAATCATAGCAGGTTGCGATATCGCATTATTTTTGTTACACATAAATCAGAGATTAAATAAAGTACATTGTTTGTTAGTGCGGAATAATAAATAATTATGCATATTAAAGACGGATTATATATAAAGTTTTTTTTTAAAAATTGTTTCATACTTTCTTACATAATTTTGAATTAGTATCACATTACTTTAACACAAGTCATACGTTTCAAGTTATTGTACTAAACCCGTAGCCATTTAAAAATTGGATTATACCTTATACACGTCTCAGCTATTATAGAAACCCAGACTAATTAGTTACTAATATACATTCTTAAGTCGCTGTGATAAGTCCGTGACCGTTAAAGACGAATTACCTTTGAGAAAATCGATCCACACCTTCATACATACAAGATTCTACATTTATAACAAACTTTGTAAACACGATAGTCATAATCCTATTGCAACTCCTGGTACAATATATTAAAATATTCAGGTAGACCTTATATATCTTGGTCATTATAAAATCTAAACGTACTAACGTCATGCTAACTTAGTATAAAACATACATTCCTAAGTCATTAAGATAAACCTGTGATCATGTCAAGTGAAATTTTGGAACCTTCATTTTTCGATTCATATGCTTATACATATGAAAAAGATGGTAAATTTATGTTTGCTTAATGATCCTACATTAAAAAGCTAGTTAGTAATCATTATTTTTTTTTTTTTTTTTTTTAGAATTTCCTGCGCTATTTGATCTTTTTTCTTTAACCAGTCAGCATCCTGATATTGACTATCTCACTGAAGAATTTATGCAATTGGAACAAGAACAACGGCGGGATAACTAAGAATTTATACAATTAGCTGCTGAACAACTAAGTGACAGTGAGTCTAATAGTGAGGAATTAATGATCTTACAATTCAAGTTGGTGCTGAATTTTCTAATTGGGAATCTCTAGAAAATGCATTAAAAAGATATGAAACAGAAATTGGGTTCAAAGCTATAAAATTTCGAATGAAGCATGATAACACTGAAGCTATAATTCGTCGGTACTTTGTATGTGAAAATTCCAAAGAGCCTAATCCTAAAAAAAAGATTGATGGTATGGATTATAGGGATAAAGAATCCAAAAAAGTTGGATGCCCATGGCAACTTAATGTAAGATGCTGGAAAAATTCCAATACCATAATTATTAATAAGTTGAATGAAAAACATAGTCATTCTCTTGCACTACACTGTAAAGAGTTTGCCCCCAGTTTGCGTGCTCTTTCACAGGAAGTCCTTGATGAAATAAAATTTTTAACTCAGGATTGTGGTCTTGGATCAAAGGCTCAACGTAGGTATATTACAAAAAAATTTCCAGACCAGCCCTTACATGATCGTGATTTATACAATATCATATGTCAATATAAAAATCAAATGGGCAACAAAAGAGAAAATGACGCAGCAGATATGATAAAATGGCTTATTGAACGACAGAAACAGGAACCAGTGTAGGCTATTTACATTGAGTTTAAAGGTGTTGACAATAATCTTTCATGGCTCTTTTGGATGTCACCAACACAAATAGAATTGTGGAAGCACTATCATGATGTGGTGGTTAATAATAACACTGCAAAGACAAATGCATATAACATGTTATTAAATTTTTTGTAATTGTTGATAATCATCATCAAATGAGAATTGTAGCTCAATCACTTGTTCAGGATGAGACAGTTAGTTCCTATAAGTGGATTCTAGATTGTATATTAAAAGCAACTGACAATTTACCTCCAAAAGCGATCTTTACTGATGTGGATCTGGCTATGATTTCTGCTATTAGTCAAGCTTTTCCTATAACAAAACATAATCATTGCATCTTTTATATTCAAACAAATATCGCAAAAAAATTGTCTCGAAAATTTGGCAACTCTTATAGTAATTTTTTACAAAGCTGGTTTCAGTATTGTAACAGTCGTAGTGTATCAGAACTGGAGTATCACTGGGGAGAGCTGTTAAATCAATATCCTATTAGTAAAAAATATTTGAATCAACTTAGGAAATCTTGATAATCATGGGCTAAAATATACGTATTTACAACTTTTTGTGCTGGCATGCAAAGCACACAACGAGTAGAAAGTACAAATGGGCTTATTAAAGCTGAAGTTAATGCAAAAACATCACTTCTTAATCTGGTGAAAGCTATCCAAATGAAACTCGAATGCGAAGCACAGCATTAATGATTATCAGAGTATAAAAATTCATTATCTACCCGGGGCTTCCAAGTATTCAAAGTATATTTTTTGAATCAGTTCAAGATGAAATCAAAAAATATTTAACATTGGAATCAGCTTCAGTTCAAAATACTCAAATATCTCAAAGTGTGTTATATCGTGCATGCTTATACAAATTTTCAAATAATCCAACATCGGTATGATTTTTACATTGTTAATTTTATTATTATTTTATTGAACTAACACTTTTTAATTAGTTTCCTGATGCTCACGAATATGTGGAAGGATACTTTGAGGATGATTATGATGCACTACAAGCTTCACTTGAAAATATTATGAATATGGTTAACTGTGACAATGTTTTTGAAGTTTGGTATATTTTTTTATTTGACCAACATAATCATAATTACCCTTATTACGTTGTTTTTTTAACTGATAATACACATCTTTGTACTTGTCTATATATTATTTCCAACGGTTTTTATTGCAAGCATTTTTTTACTGTTTTTAAAATGTCTCACAATGCCAAGTTCGACATTAATCTTATATCTAAATGTTGGTATACTGATCCAATGCAAGCATCAAACTTTTCCATAATTCTGGGTACTACTGCTATGGAATTTGATACAAATAAAGAAATAAATCAAGTCGTATCTATTCATGGACCTGATGCATATCGAGCTAGCATTTATATTAGCATTATACAAAAGCAAGAATATGCGCATAGTTTTGGTATAGCAAAAAGTGGATTAAAGTTTGCTCTTGAGAATGGATTGGTTAACGAATTTGTAGGACTAATAGCGAGATTCATTATCACAGATTAAAACGAAATCTGATCAAAACGAAATTTTTCTGTTTTTTAAGAAAAATTTAAAATTTTTTGGGGGACATTTTTTGGGGTTCTTTTTAGCATTAGGGGTAGGGTTTAGGGTTAGGTTTATTAATAAATGAGTATATGTGGGTTTTATAGACTCTAAGGGTGCGTATGAGAGGTCCCCAGTTTCATTTTGATCAGATTTCATTTTAATCTGCGACAGATAATAATGTACTAAATAAATTACATATAAATTTACACTCAGCACTATATTAGATTCTGCCAATCAGATTATATAAAGGGTACTATTCCAAAAGGTTCCGATATGTCATTATATTTAATTAAATAAGTATTGATTTTTTTTGTATTCAATTAAATAAGTATTGATTTTTTTTGTATTTAATTCATTAAATCGATTGGTTAGTTTTGTTGTAAAATAAAAAAATTGAGATTTTGAAAATTTTGGGTCAACGATAATGCAAAACGAAAAATTAACATAGTGCAGCCTAATACTTATGGACTTTTACCTTCCAAAATGCAATATTTCTAGGATTTTGTTAAATATCGCAATCTGCTATATCGCAGGTTACATGATATGCAGTATCAATAACTTATTTCAAGATCGCCAACAAAAATTACTATATAATTTTTATACTCACATGATTATCAACGAAAATAAGCCAATAATGAATCTCGCCTTAGTGTAATATTACATGATCAGAAAAATTCAAACCAACCGTTTGTTTTGTCAAAAATCGCTTATAACTCAAAATCTGCATAGAAAATTACCTTCTACGCATTAATAAAAAGTTTTCTTAAACGATTTTACTATTAGAACTCCTAACTTTAACTTTAATATAGAACATACCCTAACATAAACGAACTTAAAGAATTTTGTCAAATATGACGTGAGAGTAAAAATTTTGTTGACGCACCTGGGGAAGATCAGTATTAATTTTAATTTTTCAAAAATGAAAGCCATCTAAATCCGTATCCAATTACATATTAATCTACATTTTGCATAAATTGCACTACCCAAATACATCAAAGCAGTAATAACTCCTAACTTAGACATGGCTTTAACAATCCTCAAAACGGAAATATTTTATGAATCTGTATAACTCAAGAAAAATATGTCAATTTGTTTTACCTGGGTTTGGTAACAATTAGATACTGTGGCTTTAGTACAAACACAGCTTTTGAAAGGTGCCATGCTTTACTTGGCTAATACACTGTTATAATAATAAATACAGTAATAACTATACATATTGGCAAAATCCCGACTTACTATAGTTTGGGATTTGTCCGCCATCCCAAATCCCAAATCCCAAATCCCAAATTCTAGCAACACCAATATCTCAAAAACTTTATTAATAATCTTTATTTAAACAAATTGTATATATTCTTATAGTTATAAATAATATATTTGCAAAATATTAAGATTATTTATTTGATTTGATTTTTTATAGATAGCAATTGTTTTTTTATTATTTGGAATTTGTCCGGGTTTTGCCAGCAAGTATAGTAATAACATTACTACAGTACTGTATATTTAGATTGTTCTCTATAAATGCATACGTATTATGAATCCACTCTAACAAGATACATTTACTAAAATAGAGATTGTAATCCCAAAGTTATTTGAATGATATAAGGAAACAAAAAGGCCTATGTAAACATATCTCACGTTACAAAAATTTGAAAATATAATTAATACATCTAATTGTATACAGATACTAACTCATAACATCTCAATACATATCACATAATAAAGCAACTTGCTATAATTAGAGTCGCAATAAAATTTGATATAATGACTAGTTACAATATATCCAATATACTATATATCTTACTACTTAAAATGATTTTTAGGAAATTTACACATAGAAATATAATGCCCAGTTCCATAACAATTACCGTAATGATGACCCTCCACTTTTGGCATAGAATTTCACCATTCATTTCATTAACTCGTTTTCTTGATGAACCTTCTTCAACATATTCGTCTTCTGATTCAGTTATTGTCGCAGATTAAAATGAAATCTGATCAAAATGAAACTGGAGACCTCTCATACCCACCCTTAAAGCCTATAAAACCCACATATACTCATTTATTAATAAACCTAACCCTAAACCCTAC